TAGGCACCTACCAGACTCAGCAGGAATTTTGTGGATTGCAGCAGAGCCAAAACTTGGAATAAGTTTAGGTGCCTAGGTACTTTCATGATCCCATCCAAGTTTTCTAGCACCAGTTTTTTCGTTTCAGACCAAGCCACTGAATTTTGTTGGTTCCTTGGGTGGTTGCTTAAGCCAGAGTTCACATATGTATACAGTCATTTTTTGGACATTGTTCAGCTTTCATAATCTGCAGTATCCACCCTTCCTGCCTTAAAACTTGTGAACATCACTTCTACAATGCTTCCACTCTTCACTAGCCTGAGAAAAGGGGAAACCGGGGGCACTTCTGAACCCAGGTTTTCAAGGGCAGCTGCCCACTGAGTCATCAGGCTCCCTCCCTATTGTTATATGATGGGGCTTTCTAGTGTATTTATTTAACTGCTTCCCTGATTAAAGATACTGTCCATAATCTCCTTAGAAACAAACCTACAGTGCTTACTGTGCTGCCATGCTAAAAAGAAAGGTTAGACTCTCTTTTCCTCCAAACCGTTTAATTATGATTTTATTATCTTAAACTGTCATTTCTTCTGCTTCTCGCTTCAAGAAGGAATTTAGTTTGTGAACACTTACGGCGAAAACATTTGCATTCTTTCTGCAGGTAGAATGTAAACAATAGAGTGATCCTGTTATGGCCAGGATGTTGCCAGGAAATGGAGCCAAGTTTTCCCAGCTCTGCTCAAACTCACAATGAAATGCTTATATGAATACAGTATATTCTCCCCCGCACACAGCACTTTTTAAAATAAATGTTCACTGTCCTGAAGAAAATAGCTGAGGTGAAATCATATCTGCAGAAAATCTAGACTGACCCAACTAAGTATTCATGCCCTTCCTTTCCCCATGATAGTTATTATTATGTATTATCCAGTCACTATGGCAAAAAGCCACAAGGGGTGTGCATTAGGCTATTGGTGCACACTTGGGACACACTGTGTCAGCTGTACTGAGGCTGAGTGCCTGCAAACAGATGAGCAGTGCCTCTATTCAGATAAAATTCTACACCCATACAAGCTAGCTCAGGTTTAGTTCTGCAAAACTGAAACCAAAGACCTGGTTTACTTGGCTCAGCTCTAGTACATTGCAGCATCACCTGCACTGTAATACAATGCAGATATAGCTGCCTGTGCTGTGGATGGTGGATGTCATTTCACTGCACTGGCTTTTCATACACCTTTTCATAGCTCAATCTGCCTTTGGTAATTTAATGACATTACTATGCATCTTTGCAGCTTCAAATAAGCTTTTGTCATCCCATTGATACGGCAATGATACAAGAGGGACTAGAAAACAAAGCACTTTCAAGGAGCCATAATACTTAAGGGGACATGGCTGCCATAAAATTGTTCTGGCGTTAATAGCAAAGGCTCTTCTTTTCATGGGTAACAATGGACACTATGTGGTTCGGATAATGCAATAAAATAATTAACACCAGTCTGGCTTCATCCTCATCTTGCTTTGTAAGACAGTGGGTAATTAACTTGAGCAAAATCAGCATCACTGTAAAAGACAAATACATTAGCATTCCAACTAACAAGTAAGAATCAAGAGATACAGTATGCCATCAATTAATTAGTAGTTTATTAGGAATTAGTAATTAGTTTATAATGCCACCTAACACCCATATAATTTCAAGTCCCTTTTTATTCTTTGTTGTGTCCCCTTTTCTGATATCTTTGTGACACTTTAAAAAATTCAACATTTAGGCAATGGTAGTTTAATAGATATATTGCTATATGTTATACAATATATTTGTAATTTTATTATAACCAGCACTGTTGCTTAGTTGGGTGAACCCTGAAGAAGCCACAGTGCGGACAAAACATTAAGAAAACTGTCTGTAAGGAATGAACATATCACTTAAAACCGAAAGAGAACAAATTTGCTGAATTTTTTATTTGACTGTTCACGTGGTATGCAGCACTGAGGCGGGGTGGGTGGTGCTCTGAATTTCTGGGAGCTCCTTGAAGTACTGTGGCCCAGATCCAACCCCCCAGAAGTCAATAAGACTCCTTCAATTGATTTCAGTGAGAGCAGGATTCAGCCCCTAGACTGGCAAAGTGGCCTAGTCAAATGAGTTATTAATAGGCTTTCTTGAACAAATATACACTGCATGGACAAAATTATCAAAGTCTCTTCCCAGCATGCACTAAATTCATTCTTGGGATGAGTTCTTTCTGTAGCAAGTCTCTGCCTCAATTGTTATAAAGTCTTAATCAGAATCTGGAGGAGATTGTCCTAGAACGTACTATATGCTCTTATTTACAATGGCAAATCCACTGAAATAAATGGAGTTAGTCCAGATTTGCATCAATGTAAATAAGAGCAGAATTTGGCTCATACTTTCTGTAGGTTGGCTTATACTATGGTGTTTTAGTTAATGTGACTACCAGTGTCCTTTGCTACACCAGCGTACAATGGAAGACATTTCAGCGATGTGCAGTGTAGGCAATTGTGAGGCACCATTGCACAAGAAGAAATAAATGTTTGTTAAAAGCAGAAAAGCACAACCAACTGGCAGTTTTCAACAGTTAGCAGCCAACTGTTTAACTGAAAATGCAACCAGCTTTACTAAATCATGTAACATGGTCACATGTAGTAGAAATCATTGTATTCGTGATACATTTTGTCTCTCCGTGGTTAATGTTTTCAGTTTCATTTGCGTTTTTAAAATACTTTAATGGTTAGCTATTTTTTTCCTGAAGGGGGGCTAGATAGTGAGGAAGGTTTAGCTGGTTAAGATAACCAAAAACCTGGATAGAATGAACACCCTATGTCTATAAAATCCATACTAATTATATTAATTTCCTGCCTCAGGTGATGTCCACACTAGGCTCTATTATAACCATATTTGAAACTGTTTTCAAACACAGCTATGATCAAACACAGTTGTATCATGGCTTGTGTCTAAACCTAACTTGCTGTAAAACATATTACAAACTGGATTCAGAAATGATGGCAGGGGTAGCCTTTAGATTGCAAAGTCTTCAGGGCAGGGATTATTTTTCACTCTATATTTTTATAGCACCTGAAACTATGGTGCTCAGATCTTGATTAGGGCCTCTAGAGGTTGAGATAATGCAATAAATAATAGTATACCGCAGCTCCTTAGCGCAGTATGTGCTACCACAGTTGAAAAAAAAATCCTGTACAGATGCTTTACACAGGAACTGTGCTCAAATAAATTGTGCTATCAGCAATTTGTGTGTGTGTGTGTGTGTGTGTGTGTGGTGTTGTAGCTGTGCTCGTCCCAGGCTCTTAGAGACAAGGTGGGTGAGGTAATATCTTTTCTTGGATCAACTTCCATTGGTGAAAGAGGCAAGCTTTTGAGCTTCACGGAGGTTCTGAAGAAGGGTTCTGTGTAAGCTCCGATGCTTCTCTCTTTCATGAGCAGATGCTGGTCCAATAATAAGCATTACTTCACCCACCTTGTCCACTTTCTTAAAACCCAGCATGATTCTGCTCTGAGTGCTGACAAGGCCTAAAATAAAAGTAAGATGGAGGTTTGAGTGAGCTTCAGCAACAGTACTCTGAAGCTTGTGAAACTGATAAGCTTGTTTCCATAAAGGAACACCACAAACAGAACCCATGAACCACTCCATGCACAGAGACAAGCGTCATCCCTTGCTTTGACACATGCAGTCAAAAAAAGCAGAAAAAAATGACAGCAGTCTGCCATCTGGTGCTGTACAGAATTACTGCAATACACTTAAATAACTGAAAAAAGAAAAGGAGGACTTGTGGCACCTTAGAGACTAAAATCTCTAAGGTGCCACAAGTCCTCCTTTTCTTTTTGTGGATACAGACTAACACGGCTGCTACTCTGAAACCTTAAATAACTGAGTACATGCTCGACAATAATAACATTTAAGCAGAGCTGTTGCCCAGTAGTGTTATAATATCTTCTTGCCAGCATGTACAGGAAAAACAGGTCAGTCAAGATTCAAAACAAACTGATTGCTCATTCTTTCTGAAAATCAGGTACCTATGTATTTTGGTGCCTATAAATGGATTTAGGTGCCTAACTTTAGGTCTTTAAAAAAAAAAAGAAACTCAGTGTTGCCAATTCACGAGTTTCTTGGTGTTCGGTGTTGTTCTTAAAGACTCAGCTCCAGGAGTGACCTTATTAAAGAAACTCAGAGAGCCCATTAAAAAAAGAACAGGAGTACTTGTGGCACCTTAGAGATTAACCAATTTATCTGAGCATAAGCTTTCGTGAGCTACAGCTCACTTCATCGGATGCATGCTGTGGAAAGTGTAGAAGTGAGCTGTAGCTCACAAAAGCTTATGCTCAAATAAATTGGTTAGGCTCTTAAATTTGTTAGTCTCTAAGGTGCCACAAGTCCTCCTGTTCTTTTTGCGAATACAGACTAACACGGCTGCTCCTCTGAAACCTGTCATTTAAAAAAAGGTTTCTAGCCCTTCTGATTGCATAGAAAAGCTTCAGACTGTAAACCCCACAAGTTCAAAGCCTCCAAGGCAAATTAGAAAACCCCACCGGTTCTTATTTTAAACATCTCGCGATTGTTTGAGCGCTTGGCAGTTGCAATACGGAAACCTTGGCTGTTATGAAATCCCACCCTGAGGAGTAAGGTTTGGATTTTTCTCCCTTCTCCCGGGGGGAGGGGGGGCAGCAGGCAGGCAGGGCAGCATGGGACTCCAAGTGTTTCCGTCTCCTTCTTCCCACATGGGACGGAGCTGGGACTTGCTCTCCGGGTCACAGTCTCCCCCGGGATCTGGCGGGGGTGCGTGTGTCTGTCTTCCCTCGCCCAGGGAAGGGGGCGCGCTCCCCGGCAGGGGCACGGCTGGGGCTGGGGCTGGGGGGGGTGTTTCTCCCGCGCTCAGCCTGGGGGTGGATTTGAGCGAGTGTCTCTCCCGCGGCCCGGCCTCCAGCCCAGCGCCCGCCCGCCTCCTCTCCACCGGGCGGGTCGGCGGCGCCTGCGCCGGGCTGGGCGGCGCCTCCGTCGTGTGTTTGTGGCCGGGCCCGGGCCGGGGCTCAGCGCTGCGGGCCCGGGGCCGCCGCCGCCGCTGCCGCTCAGCGCAGGGTTTGCAGAGAGCCGGGGCCGCGGCTTGGGGAGTCTCTAGTCCCGGGTCCTGTCCCCCCAGCGCCCTACGGGCTCCTCCCCCGGTCCCTACAGCTCCAGTGACCCCACCCGCTGTAGCGCCCCGACCCTCCGGAGCCAGCCCCTATAGCACCCCACTGACCTCCAGCCATCACCCTTATAGCACCCCACTGGCCCATAGCCACCCCCCAGCCCTTATAGCACCCCACTGACCTCCAGCCACCCCCCAGCCCTTATAGCACCCCACTGGCCTCTAGCCATCGTCCTTATAGCACCCCACTGGCCTATAGGCACCCCCCAGCCCCTATAGCACCCCACTGACCTCTAGCCATCACCCTTATAGCACTCCTCTGGCCTATAGCCACCCCCCAGCCCTTATAGCACCCCACTGGCCTATAGCCACCTCCCAGCCCCGATAGCACTCTACTATCCTCTCTGGTACTCCACCATCTGCTCACCTGCCCCCTACAGCATTCTGCTATTATGCTACCTGACTCCCTCAGCCATTTCCTTCCTCTGTAGCACGACACTCACTCGCCTATCCCCCTCCCCGTCAGCCACTCACCCACCCATTGGCTTCCTCGCTGTCAACATCTAGCTCCTGTAGCAGGGTGCTGTTCCCTTCCGCCCAATATAGCAGCCCCATTATTTCCTTCCGTGCAGCTGGTATCTCTGGTAAGTGTCAAACACCCCTGGCCTCGATGGAGGAGGCGGGTAGGGAGAGGAGAGTGGTATGAATTGGGGTGCCAAAGAGGGGAGCTTGTGTTAGTAGTTTTAATTTCGTCCCCGGGGTAGGTGACCCCTTCCCCACTTTCCCAAATAAATATATGCTAGAAGCTTTTCCTTTGTAAATGGGGAAATTTGCAGAAAACTTACAAAATATGAGCTGTGTGTATGGACCAACACAGTAGAAGTGTCACTTGCTGCTTCTCCAGAATGAGTGTATGCTGTAGAACCTTGCTAATCCACATAGCTCCATAAGGTGCATGGCAGAAGATGGTTGTTCCCTCTTTGCAAAGATTTTATGGCAAGGTGGTGAAGTAAGGTGTCATTCTACTACTTCTTTTGTATGGCTGGTGTAGAGCAGCAACTACAATTTCACGTGAAGGTGATGGAGCCAAATGCCTACATTAGGAGTAGCAGAATTTATTGCACTAATGCCTCCTTCATATTTATAAGCTGGGCAGTAGGTAGTGATATATTCGATGGGAACCACACTTGCACACCGAGGAGTCCTTGATTTTCCGTTTTTGCATTAGATATCTGCATCGACCGTGGTTGATTCAAATTCGGTTCAGAGTTGACCAAGATGACTGTGGAAGGTCAAACCCAGGAACCTTCTGTGTGGGATCTGGCACAAGGTGCTTAGTTTTTTAAGTCTTGTTTAGCCCAATCTACTTTCCAAGCATCCTGATCATAGCCTGGTTGTATGAGGCGAAACGAATGTTCCCAGAAAGGCTTGCAGGATTTAAGGCGTTGCATGTGGGGGTTGTCAAGATCTTGGTGAATAGGAAGACATCTGTTTTCCTGGATTCGCTGAGCTTCATGGAATGTTGTATCAGCGGGGGAGCAATGTTAGACAGGACAGGTAGCCAGGGTGTTGGAGTCAACTTAAGGGTTCCCGTGATGCACCGCATCACTGTATTCTGCTGGCTATCCACAAGTTACGTGTGGCTGCATCTGCTCCATACTGGTGCACAATATTCAGCTACTGAATATAAAAGTGCAATTGCAGATGTTAGCAATGCTGATGCACCTCAGGTTGTACCTGCTAGTTTCTGGGGATTATGTGGGCTCTTGTTTTTATCTTTGCAGCTACCTTCTCAAGATGGTCATGGAAGGTGGGGGTGGGGTTGAGTTTCACTCTGAGATATGTTGGAGAGTAATCGTGTTGCACATTTTTATCACAGAAAGCTACTTCGTGTGTTTTTTGGCACGCTTATTATCAAGATGAAATGTGCTTACTATTTTTTTTTTAGGGTTTCATTTGAGCCTCCATTTCCGGAAATAATATTCCATATTTTGGAGGTCCTCGGTTAATGCTTTTTCAATGTCTTGGAGTTTTGCTTGGATTGTCATGACAAGATCATCTGCATATCCACATTTTCGTGATTTAGCTGGAGACATGTCACTTACGTAAATATTAAGAAGGGTTGGCGCAAGTACAGAGCCTTGTGGTAGCCCATTGTTTATGATACAGGGTGAGCTGTTCTTATTACCCAGGACACCTGTAGGCATCTGTTACTCAGCATGGTCCACAGCAGGCAAAGTGTTTGGTAACAAGGTATAATTTTAGCAAGTTTCAGCATCAGGCCCTTAATCCATACAGTATTGTACGCAGATGAGAGGTCAACAAATACTGCACCAGTCTTTAGGGGTTTTTTTGATAGCCTCAGTGTGAGTTGTGAGTGCCAGAACTTGGTCACAGCAACTATGTTTTGGTCGGACACCTGCCTGTTCGTCAGGGATAATCGGCTCAGAAAAAGGGTATATTCTTTTGAGGATGATATGCTCAAGAAGTTCATAGGTCGTTTATAGTAGAGAAATTGGCCTATCGCTTCCCACTTCATCAGGGGGCTTTCGAGGCTTTGGAATGGCAGTTACCATTGACTCACACCATATTTCAGGGTTCTGTACTGTCCTTAAGGTAATTATGTACAATGTTGCTAGCCATTGTAGTCTTTTGGGGCCGAGATGGTGGAGGAATTCTGGCAGAATACCGTCAGGGCCTGCAGCCTTCCCTTTTTTCATCATTGCAAGTCCTTTTATTTCCTCAATACTGATAGTGAAAGGTTCTTCTTGTGGGATTGATGGGTTTGGTAGAGTTGTTGATACGCTTCTCTTCTTGTGTGTTTATCAAGTGGTCCTTCTGTGTTCTCCACCAGTTTGGAGGCTATCGAGTTTGGCCAGATTTTTGGTGGCCAGTACTCTGTGGGATTAGCAGCCCCAAGACGTCACAGTTGTGTCCAGGCTCGACAACTTGAACGTGTAAAATCAAGGTTTCGCACGCAATCAGGAGAGCACTGGCATCTTGCTGTGTCAAAGGAGTATAGCAGGGCTTTTGTGGTATGAGAGCTCCTGGTCTGATTGTATTGCCAGAGCAACTCCTGTGCATCTCTCCTTCAGCAGGGAATGTGCTTTTTTCGGAAGCCTGAGGGAATGTTCTTTCCAGCTCCTTTCAGGAGCTCTGCGAACCGTTGGTAGCATTTCAGTCTCGCTGGAATCCTTGCAGTGGTTTTCTCAACAGTCTGTTTGTCGGCATCTCAGTCAGCTTTAGCAAAATTCCATCATGGTACTGTACCTATTTCAAAAAGAACACAGGAATTTCTATGCCTATGTATATCATTATAGGCCTGTGTTGGCTGTTTGGAAATGCCGATAGTACTTCACATGTTACGATGAGATTAGTTGTAAGTCTTGTGCAGATATCCAGTCCATGAGATCTTTGCCATCAATTTCTATAGTTTTATAGTCCCACATAGTGTGGTGACTATTAAAATCACCTGCATAGATGCATGGAATAGGAGTGCGGGGTAGTGACGATTTTGGCTATCTTGAGCTAGGGGCTTTATAGACCTTGATCATGTGGAGCTCCCCTACTTTGATAGTTGTGGTAAATGTGATTTCCTGTTTGGTTGATGGAATAACATTAAAATCTGTGATGGTGTCCTTGATGTATATTGACAAGCCATATTTAGGATGATAATGGCTAGTCATTAGGTTGTATCCATAGATATGGTAGTGCCTAGCCTGTTGGTCATTGCCAACATGGATGGGTCTCTTGCAACATGAGGACATCAATGTTGTAAGTCTTCAGCAAGTTTCCAAGGTACTTGAATTTTGCCAATGAGAGTCTGTCATAAATATAAAGGGAAGGGTAACCACATAAAATCTATAAAATCCCTCCTGGCCAGAGGCAAAGTCCTTTTACCTGTAAAGGGTTAAGAAGCTCAGGTAACCTGGCTGGCACCTGACCCAAAATGACCAATGAGGGGACAAGATACTTTCAAATCTGGAGTGGGGGAAAGGCTTTTGTCTGTCTGTGTGATACCTTTGCCGGGAACAGATCAAGGATGCAAGCCCTCCAACTTCTGTGAAGTTAGTAAGTAATCTAGCTACATACTGCGTTAGGTTTTCTTTGTTTTGGCTTGTGAAATTCATTGTGCTGGAGGAAATGTGTATTCCTGTTTTTGTGTCTTTTTGTAACTTAAGGTTTTGCCAAGAGGAATTCGCTATGTTTTGAATCTGACTGCCTGTAAGATTATCTTCCATTCTGATCTTACAGAGTTGTTCTCTTATCTTTTTCTGTTCTTCTAATAAAGTTCTGTTTTTTTAAGAATCTTGATTGGGTTTTTTGGGTCTTAAAAATCCAAGGCTGGTCTGTGCTCATCTTGTTTGTTCTCAAGCCTCCCCAGGAAAAGAGGTGTAAGGGTTGGGGGGGGATATTTTGGGGAAATAGGAACTCCAAGTGGTCCTTTCCCTGATTGTTTGTTAAATCACTTGGTGGTGGCAGCGTTTACCTAATCCCAGGGCAAAGACTTTGTGCCTTGGGGAAGTTTTAACCTAAGCTGGTAGAAATAAGCTTAGGGGGACTTTCATGCGGGTCCTCACATCTGTACCCTAGAGTTCAGAGAGGGGAAGGAACCCTGACAGAGGCCTTCAACATTAAGTTGCAGGATTCTTATCCCAGGGCCTGTTTGGCACGTTGTATGGCCCTGAGGAGGAGCTTTAGGATTTGTTGAGTTGCTGCTCTAATGACCTGGAAATCGCTGAGCGGCGTTCAGTTGCTGAGTTGATGGCATTCGTTGTGAATTCTCACTTAACAGAGTGGGCCCATGAAGGCTGCCATCTTCCACTCCGTCATTTTACTAAGAGAATATTAATTTTCAAAAATATGCTAAAGGACATTTTACTAGCTTGGTATGAGGTATTATAATCAACTAGACTATGCTTATCAGATTAACAAAGTATATTTTGTAATGCTGCGTCTTTGCTTTTCTGTTGTTTATTGATTGGCAAAATTCACTTGATCTGCAAATAAACCTCCTAGGTCAAGACCTTGCAGATACTTAGGCATACTTTATGTAAGTGAATACTCCCACTGAAATCATTGGGATTGTTTGCAGAATAGGACCCTAGTATAAGTGCTGATTAATAAGGTTCTATTATAGCGATAAATAGACTTGGCAGAATTCAATTTTTTTTTATAATTTTGATGAATATTATCAATGTTTTTATTTTTATCAATTTAAATTTTCACAGTTGTAGGAGATTATGGGAGGGTCAGACAATTAATGAGACATTGACGTTCAAAAAGTTAAATCTTTATAATGCTTAAAAAACCAATTGTCAACATCACATGTCAAAATATACAAAGTAAATATCCTTAAGTAAGTAAGACCTAGTAAGTTCTTAAGCAGCATTTTTCTTACTTTGACTATTCTTGACAGAAATATTTTTTCATCCATATGTGCATGTCCTGGAAAATTGACGCTTACCAATAAAAATCTAATCCTTTCAAGCTTTGTTTTATTATAAAGGGGCACCACTCTGTCTACATCATGCTTGACCGTTTAATAGTATTTTACTACTTATTCCTAAATTGCTGCCTTTTAGATTTAATAACATGGTAATAAGTGTTTCCTGAGAATGAAAATATTTATATAAAGACCAATTGAGGAGGAGTTGTTGTTTTTTTCCTGCAGAGGTCTCTTAACTAACACACTGAAGACAGTTTTTCCTATTCAATTTGACCATATGAAGTCAAGATTTTAAAGTTGTTTGGTTGCCTGACAAAAATGTAGTTTTTCCAGTTTTGGGGGGAATATTATCTGATTCTCAAGTAAATCAAAATTAAATGTTTTTGCTATGGTGACGGTTTAAATAGCATTTCTCTGTACAGTTGTACCATAGTTTTTTAGGTTTCTCTTATTTTTAGCATTCTGTCACTGTAGGTTTAGTTGTGCCTTTGCTTTAATATCAGTTAAAATGTCACTCCACCAACTGTAAGAGAAGTGAGACTAATTTGCTGTCTAAATACTATATGTCAAACACGAGTAAAAATTCAAAACTCTTTGGGGCAGGAATGGTTTGGGGTTTTTTTGTTTTTGTTTGTTTGTTGCTGTTTACCCAGTATCTCTAGCATAATGGGGCTTCTGTGTACTGCTGCAATACAAATTAATAATAAATACTCTAAAGGCCCAATCTTGCAGTGCTTGGCTTGTGAAAAGTCTCAAGTGTTTATGTAAGTGAGCCATTTTGGGATCATCCTCAAAGAGGGATATGTCACCAGTAATGTGAATAGTGTCTGTCTAGGTTTGAAATCTAAGCTTGATCCGATCAAACACAATAAACACAAATCTTTTACTACTTCTTGGTTTTGGGTGCTAATTTTGGCCCTGATCCAACAAAGACCTACACACCGGCTTAACTTGAAACATAAATAGTCTCATTGTATGCTTAAAGTTAAGTGTGTTCAAAAGTCTTTGCAAGATCAGGGCCTTTGTGTATATCCATAAATACGTTTTGTTCCTGGTCCTTCTACAAGCCACTAGAGAACCATAGCTGAAAAGGCTCTATGCTTGTGCTATTCACTGTAAAAAAATAAATTGTCATATATTTTTGGACATCAAGGTCAGGATTGTTTTTCTTTACTCTTGAGTTCCAGCGTCTTAGCTTTTGCAAATCCTCAAATTACAAGAGATCCTCTCTGTAAAAAATTGAGTTCAATCACAATGGAGATTTTCTATCACAAAATATAATGTACACATTGTATAATATACAACATATATTTTAATATAGGGATAATTTATTTATATTTCTTTGATCTGGAATGACAAGCTTACGGTTGTGGTTGATGCAGTGCATGACGACAACGTGAGTGTCTTATTGAAATCTGCATAGTCTTTGACAGTCTGCATTCATCCACCTGTACTCTTTGAGCTTAATGCTCTTTTGGCTGATGTAAGCTTGGCCTATCTCTGGCTTCCTCAGTTATCCTTGTGTAGTAGGTATTGACAGTTTTACTTGGATAGTAGTTCTACTTGTCCAAGGTTGTCAGCAGTCAGATTTCTCACAAAATAATCATATATTGTTTTAATTGATTTTGCAAAACAAAGTGTCTTTATTTTTCTAAAGCAATATAACTTATTACCCAGTTTATTTTCCCTAAAATCTTAGATCTACCCTACTGAGTCCAAAGTCTGTATTTCAGTAGCATCTGCCTAAAGATGCATGTGCCTTGAAAGTCTTTCAAATTCACTAGATGTTACTCATGCCATAAAGATGAAGGAATTTAATTATCATCAGTATACAAAGGCAGTTTTCTCTAAAGTAAGAATACACTGTGGATGTACTTTTTTGAACCCCTCCTCCCCCATCTCCTCCTGCAGAATGAAAGATGGCTGAGGATTCTCAGAGAAACTTCCGCTCTGTCTACTATGAAAAAGTGGGATTTCGTGGTGTTGAAGAAAAGAAATCATTGGAAATCCTACTGAAAGATGATCGATTGGGTTAGTTGATTCCACTATTTCCTGTACTATCTGGGCATGATTTTTGGTTGTGCTGAAAACCCACAACTGTAACTGAAGTCAGCGGTAGCTGCTGGCGCTTACTACCTCTGATAATCAGGTCCTTTGTCTTTAAACTTTTTATGTTTTTTACTGTGATATTAATAGTAATGTTGCATAGAGAGTAGCATCTAAAATCACTAGGGGATATTCTAGACTTCAGTGGTACTGATAGCTTTCTGGAGGGGCATTTGAGAAGCAGTGGATATTTTATTTAGAACCTCTTGCTATTTTTCATCTTCTTCTTTATGCCAAGAAACTGAAAATGTTTGTATGAAAGTAATTTTTGTTCAAGAGTTGCTCAGCTTCTGCTGCTAATTCCTCCTCCTCAAAGTCACAATGGATTGTGATATGATTATTATTTCTACTGGTCTCTGAGGTGTGCTAAGTTGTGTGTCCCCCCCCCCGACTCTCCCTCTCACCCCCCCCCCCCCGCCGATTAGATCTGGTGTACCTATGGCTTCATTTTAAATCAAGCTAAGATTTAAATTTTCAGTAGAATCATTGGAGCAATTTGTATGCCACTTCTATCCATTTTGAACCAAAACTGATCAGCTTTTATTGATACATAGTCCTTTTAAAGTGCAATTTGGAGATGTAGATCTGCAACTGAAGAGTTGCCCTGTTTCGGTGAATCAATGCCACTATTGAAATATTTCAAGTTTAAAATGTTTTGAGAAATATTTGCTTTCTTTGCAGATGTTGAGAAGCTTTGCACATTTAGTCAAAGATTTCCTCTCCCATCCATGTATCGTATCCTGGTGTGGAAGGTGCTTTTAGGTATGACATGTGAGACTGTGGTTTTAACTGTAGAAATAAGAATAAGCTGGGTATTTGTCATTTGTTTGGGGGTAGTAAAGACATGGAATACTCCTCTTTGTGACCAGTTGCTAATGATAGCTATGGGTCCGCTTCTGCATACTCAGAAGTTTCACACAGAGAACATTTAATTTGCATATGCAAGTTAACAATGATTTGAATCTCTGTTTTATGCATACATTTTGGGAACTCTTGTACATGCAATTTTACAAAATTAGGTAATTGAATTGAACTTCTATAAATGTGCTTATAATGTCATGTACATTATATAAATAATTAGTGAGGGTAAAGTTGGATGTTTAATATAAATAGCTGACATCTAATAGAGTTTTCAGTATTGTCAAAAAAAATTAGACATCTGAGTGAAACTGAATCTCTGATCAAAACTAGATTTTAAAAAGTTAGGGATTTGTATGGAACTGATTATTTAATAAAATAGGTCTATGGTTAGACTCCCTATTGTAGTAAGCTTTCCAACAAGGTTTAGCTCTAATTTTGCTTCTAATGTTAAATGATATTTGCCATTGGAGAGGAGAAGGAAACAGGGACTATAAATAGGCCAAGTCCTAGATTCTGTGTAGCAAGTGAGTCAAATTACTAATTCCAACAGTATTAATTGTGGTTTGGAACCGCTTTTTCGGTTTATTGGATTTATTAGATGTGAACTAATGAAGCTGGGGGTGTGCAGAGCCCAGCAATAATAATAATTCTTAGAACTATGAACATGCCAAACTTCACCTTTAGGATGCTTTTCAAACGTTAGCTAACCTTAAAGGAATATTGTCAGTTTGAACATTTTAAAAAAAAATCCGTACTTAAATCCCTAATAATGCTTTAGTTCATTGAAACTGAAATAACTTTTGGAATCTATTTTTTTTAACTATTTGTGTCTGCCTGTCTACTTTATTCATTGTTATCATGACCATAAAAATAGAGTAGTAAATGTCAGTCTTCTGTCTGCTCAGTTTCACTTCATGGCTCTCATGCACCAATACAATGCTTTAGTGTCTGGGTTGCAAACACCAGAGAGAGGAATGTTTAAATCCTGTCTAAAACTTTTCTCGTTAAACATTTTTTTGTTTTCTTTATTTAAAAATAATTTCAAAAGTGAATTATTTTAAAAGTTCATGAATGTCCATGTTAGGATTTGTAAACCCTTTTTTGGTGCAAAACCTAAAAGTTGATTCTGAACCTTGTGATACTGTTCCTTTTATTAAATGATCATACATAATGAAACCCTGAGCAATAGCAGAGTTAAGCTTAGGGATAAACACAGTTCTTGAGACAGGTAACTGAAAGTTGTGGAGATTTAGAATCCTTTAAAATGTTCTTAGCACCATCTATATTTCTTCCTCAGAAGTAACAGCAGAAGATCTTTCATCCAAAACTGCACTGTTAACTGCACAAAGGAATTTCTGTGCAAAGTTGTAATTCAGTTTAGAGCCAGTAGCATTTGTTCACTGCCTCAGATACCATGATTTGTGAATCTTACAACCCTATGATACAATTAAAAGTTGGATAGGTCGAGTCCTTCTATGTCTTTTTATATACCATCTTATATTTTAGTCTGATTCTGAGTATATAGCAAGTATAAGAAACATGTTTACAAATTCTCATTTTAGAACTCAGTCTGGAAACTTTAAATATGTGAACTCTTTTCAGTTAAACAACCCAGAATAGGGTAAAGCATTCTGCAGACACCTTGGGTCTGCTGAGGCACAAGGGATAGTTGAGTGCAGGGAGAATTTCTTGTAATATGTCTTCAAGGATTTTTCTTAGTGTAAACATTCATCAGGAACTGCAATCCAAAACATCTCTGTCTTGATGTTTGGAACAACAGCCTTATCCATTTCTGTGGGGAAGTGTTATGTCTCTTGTAAAGAAATGTACTAGTTTAGCAAGAGGGTTGCAGTCCCATCAGTGAACTACTTCTGAAATTGGATTTGAAAGATGACAGGCCCTGATGCCTTCCCAGGTTAGTGTGTGCCATATACATATCCTGCTTAATTTCCTCAACAAAGTATGGCTCATTATAGCTAAGTGGAGGGTCTATTGCACTGAAATGATTTATAGACTTCACCGCATTTTTTGAAACTTCCTTTTCTCTGTTTGCCTAGGGCCAGTTATCTAGATTTAACATGTAAGTTTAGCAGCATGTACTTGCTGAGTTATGATGGCTTGTTCAATCCCAGCTGTTAGGATGCAACCTGATTTGCTCTGGCAGTTTGAAGAAAAGTGTCTATATCTGTTTTGTTTGGTACTCAAATTCTGAAATTTCCTGGATTAACACTTGGGAGTAATATTCTCCTTCATTTAAAGAGAGGCAAAAGCAGCAGATTAACCTGATTAAAGACTAATTTTGAAGACTGCCTCCTTCTGATTAGTTCCTGCAAAACTACTGATTAGTTTTACACCATTAGTGATACATGGGAGCATTTCTGCTTTGGCCTCTTCAGGATCTTACTCTTGAAGTCACTGGCAGTTTTGCTATTAACTTCAGTGGTAGCAAAATAAAGTCCTAAGTGAGGTGAAATCATTAGGATGAAGGAAAGTGCTCAATTAAGAGAGCACTAGAGGAAAGATGTCATATGAGTCTGTTATGGATATCATAAATCATTTATCGGGACAGTGGAAAGATAACTTATGCTTCTTGTAATGGTGGTAGAAAGATTGGTGTTTAACATAATCAGCTGTGTTATGTGAGGAAAATTTAGTGTGTTACATGCTTCTTTGGTTGACATGGTTATGGGGCCTCTACCTGAAATTGTTTCATCCTGTGTTATTGAAATTACTTCGCACCACTGATTCAGAGGAGGATTGATCTCTCTGGTAAAGTCTGCAAAGAAGGTTCCACTGTGAGTAATGTAAATTAAATAAGAAAGTTGCACAGTACCTTTGTGTTACTTATATGCACACACACATCCCTGATATTCTCAGAGGGACTGTAAAATTTTGGAAAGGGAACTGTTCTGTTTTTGTATCACTGCTCTTCAATCTAGGCTACTGCTGATTTGTCATGCTGTTGGTAAGGCATTTGTATAGGAAGTGCCCATTTTGTTTTTTCTGTCAGACCATGAATGCCTTTATTACTAAGGAATAAAATATTTGTTCTGCATCTATGTTTATCTCCAAAACAAAGGGAAGGTTCAGCACAAATACACAGGAAACGCAATATAGTAAATACTACAGATGAATCCAAGCCAATGGCAGTTTAGATTTTTTTAAAAATGCATTTATTTTGTTACATCATTAAACTTTTAATTTCCCCTCATTCCAAACAATGAAACCTCTTCTCAATGTACCAGCCTCCAGTGACCTCATGGACAAAAAATGATCAGCCAGATGCTGAGGCCTAAAAGGGGATCAGAAAACCAAGTCTGTGAATAAATCATTCCTGCATTCAGTCAACACATGACCTTCAGTTTTAATAAATATTATTATTTGCTTGGTCTGTGTCGTCTTGACTTTATAGGAGTGTATACTGTAACTTTAACCAAGCTTATGTGAGTAAGAGCTGCATGATTGGGACCTACATCTTCTGCAGGCTGTATATTAGTACACATTGAAGTAAGCAAAGCCCCCTAGAAAGGGGATTCACTGCTTTCCTTTTCTCTCCTTTTTTAGGAATTATTCCTCCTCACCATGAATCTCATGCTCTGGTGATGAAGTACCGAAAGGAACAATATAGGGATGTGTATCATGCCCTCCAAGTAATTCGGTTTATCAAGGATTCTACCCCACAGGTTGAAGTTTTCCTCCGCATGCATCAACTGGAGTCAGGAAGGTTGCCTCGAAATTTGGCTTTTCCTCTGGTCAGTCATTTTTAATTTTGACTTTCAACAGAACTCTTTCAAACAAAAGAAACATTAAACTGAAACTATTAATAGCACAAAAGATATACACAGAGACAAAATGAAGTGAATGTAAAACAGGAACTAATATCAAATACTGGGTTTTACTCAAACTGTACGTTTGTTCATTTTCCCAAAAATCTTGCATAAGCTTTTATGCCGTAAAAGCTTTTCTATATATTTTTTTCTGGGCTTTGTAGCCTTTTTTATTCTAGCTCCTACCTTCATTTCTTTTTGTCTAAAATGCCTTAAAGCAAATGACAGTCTTGCTGCAGCAGAGATTCCTGAATGTCTTGGGGCCAGGCCACTAAAAGTAGTGATTTAGTGCAATTTACATTGTGTTCCTAAGTTACTGCAATTTACTAACCTGGCATTTTTGTTAGCCTGAGCTGTTTTGGGGTTTTATTAAAGTATTTAGTGCTGCTCCAGAACTACTTGACCATTGATGATGGGAGTCCTGCTATCTAATAGTTAATTTCCATGACTTCTGTTCCCTTTATGTGTCTAAAAGCAGAGAGCATGATATAATCTTGGTTACAGGGAAATCTCACATTTAGTGAAAGGAAGAGAGCATGCATCTCAGGTACATATTGAGTTGTATTTTGGGAATAAGGTGCCTTGTCCCATGGGGTAGAGTTTACTAGTATCCAGGTAATTAAAAGTGTACAGAAGTGGCCTTTTATCTAAAACAAAATCATTCTGTACACATCAACATCTATAAACAAAGAGCAATTCTATAAACTAGCAAGCATTGTGGTGTGAAAGGAAGGTGGATGGCCCCATTTATTTGATAGAACACACACTATTAATATTGACTCACATCACCTGATGCTGAGAACTTTTTGTTTCTATTACATGACTGAGCCATGCTAAACTTCTGTCACTTTGATTTAAAAATATAAACTCCTGTTTGTTTGTTTTTGTTTATTTGTTTATTTCAGTTTTTACAGAAAAGACAGTTATGCAGTTATTACCAAATGCTTGAATTATGTCAGTACCATTTCACCTTTCACACATTTGTCCAGTTCATCTATCAAAATTACCGGGTCAGGGAATCGCAATAATTTACATGGGCAGCCCAACAATTCTGTGGATCCCAATTTTCTGTTTTGTTTTCTAGGAACCAGAAGATGAAGTGTTTCTTGCCATAGCTAAAGCCATGGAGGAAGTGGTGGAGGATAATATCGACTGCTACTGGCTTGTCAGTAGTTTTGTGAGTCAGTTAAACAACAAATACAAAGATTTGTTACCACAGCTGGTAAGTATTGTTTGTGAAAAGAGACACTGGGTGGAGTGGGGGCAGATGTGACTTGGTACGCATTGAACATCTTGGGAGCTACGTCTAGGAGCTAGCACGGGACTGGAAGTCAGTAGACCTGGTTCTATTCTGCCACTAGCTACTATAAAATAATAATCTAGGCCTCCAGTTGTGCTTTGTAAATTCCCTGGTAGAAACTTTGGGGTGTAAGAAATTGGTCTTGTTTGCTAAAACATGTTTCAATTGCATATTAAATTTTTAGACTTAAACAAAAATGTACAGGTTCGAGCACAGATATGATTTAACTTTTGTATCTCTAACCTGCTGCTGCGGATATCCAGCACTGTGAGCCACTGGGTTACCCTGTGCCTCAGCTAGAGTGAGTTTTGCAGGCAACTAGACTGTGTCTCAGCTCTCTGCTACATCAGCTAGACTCCCTCACCAGCTAGCTCCTCAAGGCTCCCCTGGCCCAGACCTTGCCTAGCAGGTAATAATCACCACTGAGCTCCTCAGAGATGTTTCTCTGCAACGCACAGCCCTTACCAGTGTGCATTCACAGAAGATATTAAGTTTGCCCCTCTGTTAAAGAGTCAGTACATCATAGGTTTATTAATCTAACTGGGGTAAATACATCCGTCTTTTCAAACAGCACTGAGTTGGTTTATAGTAAAAGTAAAACAAGTTTATTAATAGAAAAACATGGATTAAGTGATACCATGTAAAAGAGATAAAGGTAGAAATGGTTACAAGCAAACAAAAATGAAAACACATATCAAAAAGTCTAAAATTTAATCTAGCAAGATATAGTCTTTGTTCAAGATGGTTTCTCTCACACCAAGTTTCCTTGCCAGCTTTTTCCTGGTTGGCTTGGCCGAGACCTATCACAGAGATCAAATTGCTTGGTTTCTTTGTCTCCTTAAGGTGAAGGAGCCCTATAGTATCTCTCTGTTCCTTTTATACCCAAAGAGATGTCTTTGTCTTACAAATCAGAAAGACTTCCTGGGTATTCAGTCTCCTATGTCTCTCTGAGGTGCAGGAGCCATGTTAATTCTCTGTCCCTTGAGTTCAGGTTCAAGATAACCCCGACTGGCTTAGCTTGATAGCTTTGTTTTTGGCTAATGTGTAAATTGAGGTAAACCCACATTCCTCTGTGTAAGATAGACCTATTTATCACCTTTACCTAGGCTAAACTGTCTTTGTTTTAGGGATTGTCTACATTTAAAATGCTACAGTGGCACAGCTGCAGCACTTCAGTGTAGACACTACCTATGCCAATGGGAGGGGTTCTCCCGGAGAGACGGTAGCTAGGCTGATGGAACCGTGTTGCTCAGTGGTGTGGATTTTTCACACCTATGATGGACCTAATTAAACTGACCTAGTTTTCTAGTGTAGACCAGGTCTTAAACATGTTCTAGTAATGTTATACAGAGGGAATTTATAACTTTGCATATGAGGTTAACACATGCATTTTATAATATTGTTAGTAATCAGCATATTTTTAGCTTTCATATGATAACTCAGAAGGCATATTTTGTACAAATATTATTGGAGTAGTGTGTAGGGTATAAATACAGGGATGCCTAGAGTCACTGTATCCAAGCTCAACTGGAACTCCTACAACTGCAGTCACTTTTTTAAAAGTATTTTGATTTTAAACAAAATCTGTCACAAGCCTAATTACATTGACAATTCTGTACTTCACATCAGACCACTTGTAGAGCTGTTTAAAATGTTCTGTCTCTTCTGCTGTGTGTCACATAGCCTTCATTAGCCGGTATTCAGGCAACAGTTGCTGGTGCTGGTTTTGAACTGAGAACAGGTTATTTTGTTTTAGGAAAACAATACATTTTGAATCAAATTGCAATAAAATGTCAGTTTAGTAGGTTGAGTTCTTTTGTTAGTGGACATTTAAAGCAGGTAATATTGAGTTTCTGCAGAATTTCTTTGTTAAAGGCAACTTGAAGAAAAATTTTTTGGGTTTACTAGCATTTATAAGAAATCTATTGCTTTATCTAGACCTTTCTAATTTGTCAAATAACATTACAGTAAGAAACCTGTTCATAAACAGTGTCCACTCATGTAAATACATACCGGTGGGCATGATTCTGCAAAATTGAAGTCAATGAGTAGAAGCTCAAACCCTTAATGTAGATACTGTACATGGTGCTGTTATAAAATAGTTGTTTTGTAAACCCGCCATCTGTTACTGGAGTTAATACACTCAACTACATCAATTGCCATAATTATTAGTGTTTGTATGCCTGAAGGGGTGTTTTCACAAGTGTTCCCATTAGCAAGAGAAGGGGCTATAGATCCTTCGCTCCCAGATTTTTCTCAATAGTTTTATGTATTCTACCAAAAATAGGAATTTTGGAATATAGCCAAAGGAAAATCTTTGTCCTTTAACAACTGAAAAAATTAGTCATTTGTCCAGCTGTGTCAGAAAATAGTGAAACTTCTGTGATTTTATATAAAAATATTGGAATTATAAATGCATAATGACTTTTTAAATTCACTCTTTTCTTTTTTAAACCCCACCATTATATGCTATTCTGCTGGCCTTTCCTAAAACACTTCTGACGGGCGTTTTTGCACAGCAAACAATGCTTTTAATACATTGCATAGTGGTTTGCTCTGAGATGTGATTTCTCCTGTTTTGCTGCATTGTGTGTTGGTTTTGTGAATTGCTCAAATGGAGCTAGGTTTGAGATGAACTAAACTCAGTTTTACTTGTGATGGTAGCAGCAATTGAACATTGGTCCCCAAAGGGTGAAAGTTTAGTGCAGGTATAATCCTCTGCACCACCTGAAATTCTGACTCTTTACTACACAAAGGAACAAACACTACAGTATTTAGAAGCCCTCATAATGGTAGGTGACTTTTTTTTAGGAGGGGTGAACAGAAGTTTGTTTAGCAAATATTCTATCAGCCAAATTGTAGAGTTCAATAACCCTTGCTGTAGGTGAATGTGACCTTGCAGTACATTATCTAATGTTAATATTTTAGCATTTGCTTTTTACATATGTTTAATTTTGAGACACTTCTCTTAAAGTGAGAATCAACTCTGAATTCCATTTGATGTGAGGTATTTAAAACTTTGATTTCCCTGTTCTTTCTACAGCCAAAAGTTCTTGAACAGTATTTGAATGTTGAAGATAACAGACTTCTGGTGCATCTGAAGGCATGCTCTGCAGTGAGCAAACTTCCTTACAATCTTTGGTTTAAGAAGTGTTTTGCAGGCTGTTTACCTGAATCCAGTTTACAGAGGCAAGTGTTCTCTTGTGTTCGTTTGTTTAGGAATTTCAGCTTTGTATAGCTGCTAGTAGAAGATAACTTCTCTTATTTCATCACCCAGAATATGAACTAGATTTGAGGAAAACTGATTAAAGTAGCACTGATTTAGAAATCATAACAAAATTTGATGTGACTCCACTTATTACAGATATACGATCTTTTTAAAAGTGTGGATTTTTTTGGTATTTAAAAAAGATGAGGTTAAAATTTAATAATTTTGGCTGCATGTGCTAATACCACTTTCAGCTTCTTCGTATTTAAAACCCCAAATCCCTATTTTGTGACATACGGGCTAAAGGCACCTAAATTTTCAGATGTTTTAGTTGCAGTTATTGCTTCACTAAGTGAATGTTTACTCTTTATTGTCATTTAATTTAAAAATGTAGTGGGAGAGTTTGTTTAAAAAATAGCACTTGATATGTTAAGTATGACAAAGTTCATGAAAATAAAGCATACTGTGGGCTAGTCTACACTACACAACCTTTGCCAATACAACTATGTTCGTATAGTTACACCAGCAGAGCCCCTAGTGGAGATGCCAGCTTGAAGGATTGGAGCCTGTTTATCACTGTAGTAGCTAAGTGTTTTTTAAAATATTTACTTTAAAATGCATAAGTCACTCATGGTAAGTGGCATTCTTGTTCTGTCAATGTCTGAGAAACAAAAGACAAATCTAAAAACATAAGCCACCCCTATTTATTTTAATACAATTGTTTCCTCTTCATTTCACTCTGAGAATTAATTCTTCTTCTTCGAGCGCTTGCCCATGTCGATTCCATGTTAGGTGTGTGCGCGCCCAAGTGCACAGCTGCTGGAGATTTTTCCCTTAATGGTATCTGTAGGGCCAGCTCTGGTGCTCCCTGGAGCCCCGTGCTCCTGCGCTAGTATATGGGGTACTGCCAGCCACACACCCTCTCAGTCCCTTCTTATTGCCCGTGACAGTTGCAGGAATGCTTCTTGTGATAGCAAGTTTCCTTGTGGTTTTCTTGGACTGTTTTAGACTTTTCTCTTGTAAATAGTTACAATAGTTGTTTAGTTAGAGTCTTAACTGGGACATTGTCCCAGGGATGGGGCATGCCATGTGCTGCCTGTCACAAACCTATGCCCGTGAGTGACCCACACATGAGCTGCCTTAAGTGCCTCGGGGAGGCATGTCAAAGAGAAGTGCAGGATCTGCAAGGGCATCAGGCTATGCCCTCTCACGGACAGAGACAATTGGCTGAAAGCCCTATTGATGGAAGCCGCCCTCCGCCCAGCTTCAGAGCTGTCCCGTTCTGATTTGGCACCGAACATGCTTGCCTTCGTGCGGAGTGCTCCACTGGCACCATGCTCTTCCCGGCACCACTTCCCTTCACCTCTGTGCCGAAGAAGAGGCACAAGAATCAATGGGCTGACAGGGGACACTCTCCAGTACCGCAGACAGTCAGGCAGCAAGGGACCTGATATCTCTCCCAGTGCCGCCTACACCTCGAGACCCAGGCCCGACTCCAGGGAATCCTCGAAAGTGGTTCCCTTGAGGGGGAAACCTTCTATGAGGCCACCTTAATGGCCTTCAACTCAGTGCTGATCAACTATGGGCTGCAGCGTCATTCGCCAGCTTCCCGAACTCCATCCCCCCAGCACCGATCTCCAGCACTCTGTTGAGCGTCTCTGGCACTGAGGCACCGGTCCCACACCACTGCTCCCCAGTGTGACCCGCTCTCTGGCTCACCGCCATAGCCATCAGCAAGTGGCAGCGACAGCTCCCCCTGGGTCTCCGAGGGAGGAGTCCTCCTTGGGGTCCAAGAGCAAACCCAGCTCTCCTCCAAGACGGCAACGACATCATTCTTATGAGCCGGATTTCACTGCAGGTCCGTCATTGGGGCCACGGCCATTGGTTCAGTGGCAATGTTGGAACCCCTGGGGGTTCCCTCCCATGCTGGGACCATATTCCCAGCAGGCGTCCTGAGTAGTTTCCGAAGGATGGACCCTGGCTCTGATGCGACTGGCTCAACTCAGAACCGGATCCCGATACTGAAACCCAGCGGTTCCGGTGCAATCAGTACTGGTAGTGGAGGGAAAGCCAGCCATACCAGCAGTGACAGCCACCTTCTCGTCTTCCCCTGATGAGGCGGTCGCAGGACCTGCCATCCTGTTGCCACCAGATGATTTTAGGGCCCACCAGGAACTCCTCAAGTGAGTTGCCTCGAACTTGGGGTTGGAGGTGAAGGAGCTTGAGGAGCCTACCGATAGCCTCTTCAACATTCTGGCTGCAGCGCCTGTCTACAAGGTGGCCCTTCCAGTGCATGACAGAGTTCTGAAGCTCATCAGAGCACTGTGGTAAACTCCATCTTCTGTGCCCCCAACATCTAAAAGGGCAGGGAAAAAGTACCATGTCCCTCCCCAGGGCTTTGAGTACATGTATTTGCACCCATCCCCAGGGTCACTGGTGGTCTCAGCCACAACTGAACGGGACAGATGGGCAATCTAGCACAACCCCTAAAAATAAAGACACTAAGAAAGTGGATCTTTTCTGTGGGAAGGTGTATTCTACTGCCAGCCTACAGCTGCATATCGCCAACCAGCAAGCTTTGCTGGGGCTATACAAATACAACACATGGGATTCGATGGCCAAATTCAAGGACTCATTGCCCCAAGAGTCAAGGCAGGAATTCTTGGCCATCATGGAAGAGGGCAAGGCAGTGGCCACGGCCTCCCTTCAGGTGGCATTGGATGTGGCTGATGACGTCAGTGGTTTCTATGCGGCACAGTTCATGGTTGCAGTCCTCTGGATTCTCTCACAAGATGCAGCAATCCATCCAGGACCTCGCCTTTGAGGGCAATGCTCTGTTTTAGGAGCAGACAGACACCAGGCTGCATGGCCTGAAGGACTTCAGGGCCACCCAATGCTCCCTGGGGCTGTATATACTGCCAGTCTTGAGAGGACACTTCTGGCCACCACCCAGGCTCTCGGGTCCACCTCGGCAGGGACTCTAGAGGAGAAAAGATAGAGGCTTCAAATGCCACCAGTCTGCCCCGTCATCCTCAACCCCCTAGTCGGGTCCTGCATCCACTCTGATGGGCTGACAGGCATTTTGAGGGTGTGCCCAAGGACGGCGTACCGGAGTTACCTCAGGATTCCCCCCCGCCTTTTATTTCTGGACTGTTTGTCCCCCTTTCTTACTGCATGGACCCAGACTACCTCAGACGGTTGGGTGTTCAATACCATAACAGCTGGTTATACCCTGTAGTTTTCTTCCACCCCTCCCTTCCGCCCCCTTTCCCTGTCCCTCTTCAGGGACCTTCTCACGAGCACTTTCTCATCTAGGAGGTGGAATCCCTCCTACATGTAGGGGCCATGGAGGAAGTTCCTCAAGAGCTGAGAGGGAAGGGGTTCTACTCCCAATATTTCCTAATCCTGAAGGGAAATGGGGGTGCCTCAGGCCCATCTTAGACCTGCACCACCTCAACAAATATCTCAAGAAGTTGAAGTTCTGCATAGTCTCCCTGGCCTCTCTCATTCCCTCCCTGGGTCCAGGAGACTGGTACGCTGCCCTTGACTTGAAGGACGCCGATTTCCATATTTCTGTTTTCTGCAGACACAGGAGATTCCTCTGATTTGATGTAGGCCAGCACCATTGTCAGTTCATGACTCTGTCCTTTGGCCTATCGTCTGCTCTGAGGGTTTTCATGAAATGCGCGTCTGTGGTGGCAGCTTACCTAAGGCATTGAGGTGTGCAGATGTACCCATACCTTGACAACTGGCTTATCAGAGGCACGTCTCAAGCCCAGGTCCAACACAGCCTTGACTTGGTATAAGCCACCTGTCAGGTGCTGGGCCTCCTTATAAACTAATAGAAATCAACTCTGACCCTAGTCCAGAGAATAGAATTTGTAGGCACAGTGCTCAACTCTACCCAGGCCAAAGGCTACCTACCGGAGACCCGATTCTGAGCTATGTCAGAGCTCATCGCAAGCATCAGAGCCTATCTGCTCACGACTGCTTAGGTTTGCCTCAGGCTACTAGGTCACATGGAAGTATGTATTTACATAGTCTAGCATACATGGCTGCACCTCAGACCCTTGCAGGTGTGGTTGGGGTTGGTCTGTACCGCTGGCAGACACCATTTGAACTTAGTGGTCACAATTCTGTTAAATATACTGTCCTCCTTGACTTGATGGACAGACCCGCAATCGGTGTTGGCAAGGGTTCCCTTTGTGGCCCTGCTCGCTTTGGTGACGTTGGTCTCCCGATGCCTTGGATTTGGGGTGGGGAGCCCACCTTGGCAACCTCAGTATGCAGGGCCTCTGGTCCCAGGAGGATTGCTCCCTCTATATAAATGTCAGGGAGCTCAGGGTGGTACACTTGGCTTGCCAGGCATTCTTACACTACCTAAAGGTCAGAAGAATGCAGATCTTGATAGACAATACTTCCATGATGATCTACATCAATAAGCAAGGTGGAGCCCACATGTCTCCCCTGTGTCAAGGGGTCTCAGTGTGTGGGACTTGTGTGCAGCATGCCATTCATTTCGAGGCGTGTCATCTCCTGGGAGCCCAACATTTGCTGGCTGATCTCCTCAGCAGGTCCTTCTCTTCTTGCCACGAGTGGTCACTCCATCCAGAGGTGGTCAGTGTCATCTTCCAGAGGAGGGGAACTCCCTGAGTGGACCTATTTGTGTCCAGGCAGAACAGGAAATGTCAGCAGCTTTGCTCGATATGCGGGCTCGCCAGAGGCTCCCCATTGGACGCCTTTCTGCTCTTATGGACAGGAGCACTACTATATGCTTTCCCACCAATATCCCTGGTGCAAAAGGTCCTCCTGAAGGTCAAGAGGGACAAAGCAAAAATCATCCTGGTGTCTCTGGCGTGGCCACGCCAGCACTGGTTCAGCACGCTTTTGGAGCTCTCCCTAGCAACTGCATTAGAGCTCCTGCTCTGGCCAGAACCAGGGCCATCTGCTTCACCCGAAACTAGAGTCCCTGCATCTGACAGTGTGGCTTCTGCATGGCTGAATGTGGAGGAATCGCTCTGCTCAGCGCAAGTCCAACACATTCTGTTAAGTAGCAGGAAGCCTTCCACCAGGGCAACCTACCTAGACAAGTGGAAATGCTTAACATGTTGGGCCTTGGGCCAGAATCCTTCCCCATCCCGGTCCTCGCTTCAATCCATTTTAGGCTACCTGCTCCACCTCAAGCACCCAGGCCTGGCCATTTTGTCATTCAAGGTGCACTTGGCAGCTATCTCAGCCTTCCACCCTCCAATCCAGGGCAGATCAGTCTTCTCCCATGAAATGACGATTAGGTTCCTGAAGGGGTTGGAGAGACTCTACCTCCAGATTCGCGACCCAGTCTCTCCGTGGGACTTAAATCTGGTGATCTCTTGGCTCACAGGTCCCAACCGTTCAGGCTACTATCCTCCTGCTCCCTGCTGCTCCTCTGTGGAAGGTTGCTTTCCTGGTAGTGATCACTTCAACCCCGGAACTCTGAGATAAGACCACTGACATCGGGAACCCCCTTACATGGTGTTCTATAAGGACAAGTTCCAGCTTCGTCCCCACTTGGCCTTCTTACCAAAGATGTCACAGTTCCATTATAATCAGGACATCTTCCTACCAGTCTTCTTCCCAAAGCCTGGCAAGACTAATGAGGAGCATCGGTTGCACTCTTTGGATGTTAGATGGGCCTTCGCCTTCTACAGTGAGAGAACTAAGCCCTTCTGTAAGTTGATGCAGCTTTTTGTCGCAGTGGCAGACAGGAAGAAGGGCTGGCTGGTTTCCTCTCAGAGGATCTAGTCGTGAATAACTGCCTGCATCAAGTTCTGCTATGAAAAAGCAGGGCACAAACTGCCCATTCCACCAGAACGCAGGCTTCTTCAGGGGCGTTCCTTGCGCAGGTACCAATTAAAGGTATCTGCAGAGCTGCTACCTGGTCTTTGGTCCATACCCTTGCATCCCATTACACCATCACCCAGCAGGCCTGGGACAATGCCAGCTTTGGTAGAGTGGTGTTGCAGGCCGCATGTCTGTAAACTCCGAGCCCATCTCCAGGAATACTGCTTGTGAGTCACATAACATGGAAACGATGTGAGCAAGCACTCGAAGAAGAAAAAACGATTACCTGTCCTTCATAACTGTTGTTCTTCGAGATGTGTTGCTCATGTCCATTCCATGACCCGCCCCCTACCCACTGTTGGAGTTGACGGCAAGAAGGAACTGAGAGGGTGCAGGGCTGGTGGCATCCCATATACCGGCACATGAACATGGGGCTCCAGGGGGTTCCAGAGCTGGCCCTACGGATACCACTAAGGGAAAAATCTCCAGCAGCTGTGCATGGAGATTCTATCTAACATGGAAACGACATGAGCAACACCTCTTGAAGAGCAACAGTTACAAAAGGTAGGTAGGTAGCTGTTTTTTATGCTTAAATGTGTCAGGAAGGAGATTATAGGTGCATATTTGTACAGACTTTATAGTAGTGAATGAAGTATTGCCAATTTTTGAAAAAAAACAACAGTATTTCAGGACAGTTACTGAAAGTCTTGGTAATGAACTGAGACAAGGCAGAATAAGAATTTACTTTAGTAAAGGAGTGCACTTGATGAGGAATCTAAGAAGTTGTCCTGAGAACCTTCTAGCATTTTATTTCTTTTTACACAGACTTGTAATGTGTGCCTTGTTTATGGAAAAGTGTAGATGTGGAATAGTTCTTTGCATTCTTTGACAGAACAATGCACAGTAAATAAAACTTGATGAGCATAGGATTTTGCATGAAGCTTACTTTGTTTAAGCTTCATATTCTTGTTTCATTTTGTATTTTTTTCCTTGTAATTGTCAGTATGTTTCTGTCCAGTGAAGGAATGGTAGGAGAGCCCTTCTGTGGCTAATTGAACACCTATGCATTTCTAAGGATGTTAGTCTCACACAAAAAATCCCACTAACCCATCCTAACACGTAGAGCATTTGCTTTAACTTTCAGTGACAGTGAATAGGACTTCTAGGACAATTTAAATTTCTGTAGTCATTTCCCCATCAATATAATAATAAATTAACCTTCACAAGCTTTCTGAAGCATAAACTGTGAAAGTATGTCTGATCCTAAAAGTTAGGATCAGAACAATTGAACTAATAAAGATGTAATGTGTAGAAAGCATGTAAAAAAATACCTAATTACAAAAATAAATACATTAAATAAACCCCGTGGCCTTCTACATTAGCCTTTTTTCTATAATTTTCTACTGCTGCAGCTCGGTTGGTGGTGTAGCACTAGCATAGACAAGGCACTGACAACTCCTGATGTATTTATCATCATGTCACACACTCACATTCCAGTTATTGTTTTAAATTAATTGAGCTGCATGGGCAGTAATAATAGTTGGAAGTTAAGAAGAGAGTGCAAGAGGAGACGGAGCTGGTTAGTGCTAACATTGGCCAGGTCTACACTACACGCCTCCGCTGTTATAACTACATCTCTCGGGGTTTGAAAAATCCACACCTCTGAGTGATGTAGTTACACTGAATTTAACCCCCATGTATTCCGCCTCTTGGGGAGGTGGATTAACTATGCTGATGGGAGAGCTCTCTCCTGTTGGTATAGGAGCATCTTCACTTAAGCGCTACATTGGTGCCGCTGTGCTGATGCAGCATTTAAGTGTAGCCCTGCTTTTGTCTCCACTCCTTTCCTTCATAAAGATTCTCCTGGGTGGTGTGAACTAGGGATTAGTTAACTAATTGTAGTTGTTTTAATATGAGCATTTAAATGAAATGACTGCAATGCTTGTTTGGGAACAGGTTGAGTATCAATGGAAATGTTTCGGGGGGTTTTAAAACCCCCACCCCTTTCTGTAATGAGTTCATTCACCACACCAATTAAATCTGGCAGCAGAATCATGAAAGAAGGCTGGATGTGTCACAGCAGCTTAGTTTTAGTACATGTTGGAAAGACTCTTTCCCTGATCTTTTTAGGATTATAATTCTTTGTGCAGTCACTACAACTTATACTTCTAGTATCTGGGAAGTAAACATTGTCTGGGGCACTATCATTTGGCTTGTGCCTTTTCTTCTTGACTTGTGATATATAAAGGAGGCCTAAGGGGTTTATGGTTTTTTAGAAATTCACGTCCCGTGTAGATTTTGCAATGATTGGAGAATGAGGACAAATGGTGACATGAAGAGCTATGATAATGAAGGTTGAAGAATTGAAAGAGGGTGGGATTATTTTTTAATAGGGAGTCATGTAGTAAAAGTATTTATAGCCCTTGGAAATTTACCGTCCAGGTTCCATGGTTTTATTAGTACATCTATAGTTTTCATTAGTACATCTATAGGTTTATGCAGCATACTGGGGGTGTGGATGTGAGGAAGAAAGTGGGTTGGAAGGGTCAGTAGCTGTTATCTGTGTATAATTATTATTTACAGAAACATAATTGACAATACCATGTTGATATCAGTTTCACTTCTCATACAATAAGATGGAATATTTGGTCACAGTAGGTATCCTTGTTTAGTTAGCTCAGCACTTTATTCCTTCTGAACTTTTAGTTTCAGTTGGTTAACTATTTGACAACTATCGTTATAGATACGCTAATTTTATTCCTTTTCTTGGCACCAGGAAAAAAAAAAAACTCATTGTCACTGATACTGTGGTGACAGTCATCCATGTGTAATAATTAAACTTAGCAGAACAAGATCTGCTTGTTAAGTTTTAGCTTATAATCGTCTAACAGTGCAGAACATCTGTATGTGTTCTATTTCTAATTGGGGTCTTTGTGTAAGCTTGGCAGCAGTAGGCACTACTAATGTGCTGCTCTACCCTTAATCCATCCTAGTTAGAGATTTAGTAGAAGTCAGAAACTTGTGACGTTTGATTTCCTTACTTTTGAATATAGATGGTACAGGTACTGCATGTATAATTTAATACATTGCTACATTCATGGAAACTATCTGGAAAAGAGATTTGTTGCAATGAATAAAAGATTAGAACAGATTAATATGGTTTGTTGACTTTGTTACTTACTATTTTAGGGTTTGGGACAAAGTTATTAGTGGATCCTGCAAGATTCTTGTGTTTGTTGCTCTGGAGATTTTATTAACCTTTAAAATGAAGATAATGGCCCTGACTAACACAGAGAAGATCACACAGTTTCTGGAAAATGTAAGTACTTGTCCTAGCTGTGCATTGTTTTTGGTGGTATAGCAAATATTTTCAGGTTTAAAAAAAAACAACAACTTTTTATCCCTTGTTAATTCAATTGGGATAAAAAGCATTGCAAAATGAGTTTCATAATATTACCCAGAATTCTGAGAACTGGGTAATACTCGATCTGCCCTATCTCCCTCAATCTTAGTGACAGTTTGCTTTTCTACATTAAACCCACAATCAATGTTTGTATGTATTTTTATTTAGAGGTAATATTTTAAATTTTAAGTTTACCATAGTTCTAATAACAGTTGCAGTCATTACAATGTTACAAACTTTTAGGAGGAAAGGAATCCATAAGGTAGCTGGTCCCAGGGTGTTAGGAATGGCTGTTGTAGGCTTTTACCTTTAGAGGCCAGATTGATGACCACCTTCAGAAAAATCCATCGGAGGGATTATGGGGAGAACCCACTGTCCTTTAAGTCTCCCCCAATTGTTCTGTTGGGGGTGATTTGAGCTTCTCTTCTTCCCCCACACTGAATGAGCGGAGGTTTCCAGACATCCATGGAGGCAATAGGCTCTCTGCATGGACCATCAATGCCTCAGCACTGCCTTGAGCCATCTTGCGAGGACTTGTTGTATCCCAGCATTGGATCCTACTCATGTTCATGTGGTACTGAGAGATTTCTGTGGAAAAGTTAGTGTAGCTTCAAGCTGTGTTAATTTTTTGAAATTCCTTACAAGGTTGATGGCACAAGGCTACCTGGCCCTGGTCTGCTCCCTCCCCAAAGAGTGCTCACTGTGGAGGTGACTGAAACACCCCCTGTGACGAAGCGGGACTGTTCTTAATGTTTCCTCTGAATATTGTGGGGGTGCCTCAGTTCCCCCTAGGCAGTTCTTAAGTATCTAGGTGGTGGGATAAGGGGTATGATCGTTGCAGAGCCCTAGAGGGCAGGTGTGTGCAGGGGTCTGGACACAGAGAATGGCCAGCACCCTGTTTCCTGGCAACTGATGGCCTGGGCCCTTCCCCCCTGCGAGGTGAGAGCTAAAGGGTTGGAGAAAAAAGGAATCAGGTGACCTCCTGGCCTGGGAAAGGGCCAAAGCCCAGAGGAGAAGGGCCTGGAGAGAGTTTCAGTTTGGGGCAGGCTGGGGATGTGGAGTGAAGTGCAGACGTGGTTGTCTGGCTCTCTGCCCCCCAAAACGGACCCAGCTGAGGGTTCCTGTTCTCTGCACCTACAAGCTCTGGTTTAGACCATGTTCCTGTTGTCTAATAAACCTTCTGTTTTACTGGCTGGCTGAGAGTCGCGTCTGAATGCAAATTTGGGGTGCAAGACCCTCTGGCTTCCCCAGGACCCTGCCTGGGCGGAGTCACTGTGGGAAGCGCACGGAGGGGCAGAGGATGCTGAATGCTCCGAGGTCAGACCCAGGAAGGTGGAAGTTGTGTGAGCTGTGTGTCCTGAAGACAGTCTGCTCACAGAAAGGAGACTTCCCCAGAGTCCTGACTGGCTTCATAGGGAGCAGTTCCAGAGCATCGCCCAGGGACTCCGTGACACCCCCCTCCACCTCCCTTTATGTGGAAACAATGAGATTGTTCCTCTGAGAGAGGGGTGCCAATCTGGCCATGCCTGAACACATTGGATCCATCCAAAGGCAGGTCCTGCCTATGCCCATTTTTGTAAATATTTTGGTTAGGGAGAAGAGATGACAAGTTTGGAAAGTGAAATAAACAGAATGGAGAATAGAAATATTACTTTGAGTGACTGGATATTTTGTTTTAGGCTCTTTGACTACCCTGTTAAACTTAACACAAACCTTTCTCCTGATCTTTTGTAGATTCCTCAAGATAACACTGACGCAATAGTGAGCAAAGCTATTGATCTGTGGCACAAACATTGTGGGACACCGGTACATTTGGTATGAGAACTTGCTGCAGTCCTCACGGTTTGGAAGGACGTACCTTCTGATGGTACTTCCCTAGATTAGTATCTGTAGATGTTAAATTGTTTCACATTTGTGCTGTAAATATCATGGTGATTAATTTGTAAATTGTTGCAATAAAAATAAAGACTGAGTTGTGCTGTGATGAGCAGTAATTTGGTAATATAGTTGCAACATTCAAATGCGCTAGTACAGTGCTTTCAACCTTTCCAAACTGCTGTACCCCTTTCAGGAGTCTGATTTGTCTTGCGTACCCCAAGTTTCACCTCACTTAAAAACTACTTGCTTACATAATCAGACATAAAAATACAAAAGTGTCACAGCATGCTATTACTGAAAAATTGCTGACTTTCTCATTTTTACCATATAATTGTAAAATAAATCTATTTGGAATATAAATATTGTACTTACATTCCGTGTATAGTATAGAGAGTAATATAAACAAGTCATTGTATGAAATTTTAGTTTGTACTGACTTGGCTACTGCTTTTCTATGTAGCCTGTTGTAAAACTAGGCAAACATCTAGATGAGTTGATATACCCCAGGGGTATGCATCTCCTTGGTTGAGAACCACTGGGCTAGGGTCCTCTGAATTGTGGCATTAACGTAAGTTGTTTAGCAGGGGAGGATGTAATACGCAATCCAAGAACAGATTTGCATGCCTCTTTATGACCCACTAAACTAGTTACATTTTGTGTCTAAATAAGACAATTAAAGGAAGCTGTCCTTTGGTGGTATATATACACACTAATAAAATGACTGCCTTTTAGTGCCATGTAATTAAAAATGTTAAATCAAGTTCTAAGGGAAAAAAACTTTGTATGTAATTCAATGCTGTAACAAAAGTGATAGTGTGTTTTGAACACAGAAGGGAATAGGCTTTAAAATGTTAATTGTTATTAGGTAATACCTCAATTTATGGTTAAGAACAGTGGCAGCAGTACATTAGACTATGGTGGATAAGCAGCTTGCTAAAAACTGTATACAATTGTGAATTGTTGTGTCTTGTTCTGGAATGCAGAAACAGATGGATTTTTTTTTTTTAAATGGCATTTATAGAGAACTTAACAGTTTGCTCTGTTTTAAGAAGAAAGTGATTCTGCTACCACTGCCATCCTCAAGATCCTCCCTTCTAATTCAGGTGAGACAGCTCAGTAGCCATGATTGAAATGCTGTACCAAAATTATGTTTGGTGGCTTTAATCTCTTCCAAACCAACACCTTTCTCTATGGGTTCAATACAGTAGAGTGAGGAGCACCTCATCTCTCCTTCAAGCCAGTGGAAGTTGAAGATTGCCTCTTGAGAATCAGACTCTCATCGTATTGCAGGGTCAAGCTGTGTACAGGTTTGAGCAAGTGATGAACAGATCTCTCCTATCAGATGAGGTGGATTTAAAAAAAATTGAGAGTATTTAAATAAGCCTGTTTAACACACATTGTTTTTGCTGCCAGGTCTTAATGAAAGTCAGTGTGTAAGCACCTGGAACCAGCATTTGAGTGCTAAACCAGCTTTTGATAGTAGTAGCCTCTTTTGCAGCTGTAGAGAATATTTTCTTCACTTCAGTTTATTCAACTAGTTCATCCAACCTGTTTGGAAGAAGAAAACAAGCTTTTCTGCTTTGTTCAGTTCCCAGTCTGTTAGTAAACTAGGTGTGAAAATAGCTCTACTAGTTCTAAAATTTTGAAGGACATGGTAACCAAAAACATTCAGTTCAATTCTCTAACTGCAAAGTAAAATACTTCCTTTGTGTGGAGAGGGGTGAGGTTTTTTTGGGGTGGATGGCTGTGTGGGGGCACTGAAACAAATTGTGGTCAACTTCAAATAGATTCAGTTGAGAAAAGGAAGAAAATTTGAAAGGGGGTTTGTTTCAGCTGTTTCAAACAAAAAAGGATCAGTTGTTTGCTGACTCTATTCCTTTAATCCATTTAAAATGTCACACGTTTTGCTAAAACTACTTTAGCTGCTGGATATTTTTATATGTGGAAGATTTAAAAACAATTTAAAAGTGCGGTTTTTGTTGATTAACAATTTCCATCCACCTAGAGCTTGATACAAGTCACAAATAAATCATTCGGTGTTTAAGAATCTGCATTAATATGCTCTCTATATCCTGGTTAGCAAAAAAGCATCAATTTGAGTGTAAATGCAAGTCAACATGTTAAGGGCTACCAGCCAACCAGAAGTGGGGAAAAGGGGGAAAAAAAAAATCAACCTATCTTTGAAAATGCAAACAAAAGTAAAGTTGATGGACTTACATCAGTGTTTCCTGCTTGGTGCTTCAAACAATCCATGTTGCTAAAAAGGGATTTTTGGAACAAGAGTGCAGTCTGAATATAGAAAAAAATTTCTTAAATACTTAAATGAAATTCAGACATGCTTTAACATTGGCCAGAGACAGCACATCTCCCGTTACTAAATCCAAAAAACCTTCAGCATAAAAAGAGGTGGTGTACTTTCTTTTGTTAGAACTAAGATCACTAAAGTAGAAAGGGGAAAAATTCTCTCTTCCTTTGTGCAGTTGGCATTTAGTACACACTCTTTCCCCCCCCAGTGTTTGTGTGGGTCCTTTCCTCAACAACAGGGAAGAGCAAGTTACTAAAGTGTGATTATAAAACCATATACATTGTCAAGAGGTCTTGGGCAGGAGTAGTACCTAAAACTCTTCAGTAAAAAACATTTCAGGTGGGTGTCACTCTTACACTAACTTGCTTTTTTATTTTTAAAAAGATGCTACCTTGGTTCTTAATGCTGCAATAATGCAGTTGCAAAATTCAGGCCTTAGAGTTTCACTGAGTGGTCAGTAGGGTGTGAGGTCTCCTGGTGCGCCGGTCATTGTTCTGGGGGAGAGGCTGTCTTTTAGGCATAGATCTCTAACCAACCTATTGAAGCCTGGAGACATTCCAGCTGGAATCATGGAACAGAAGGACACCAGTAAAGAGTCTTTACCATTGCTTGCCTCTCATGGCTTGTTTACACTTTTTCATAACAAATAAATCCTTTATGTTTAAATGGAGTCCAGCAGCACTTCGAAGAATCTCAAGGGCAAAGTACTCCATGGAATGGCTGTAGAACTCCTTCTGTAAAAGGTCCATTGCGATGCACCTAGTTAGAGCAATTCCTCTGAAATGGAGTCTTCAGTGAAAAGAAAAAAGACTGAGTCAGCAGTATAGTCTAATATTAAAAACAGGTATGGCATAGAATAAATGTCTAAACCTTTGGACTGCAGATTACATTTGGACTTTTTATTTTTTTAATTGAAAGTGTGTTCTGTAGTGACAAGGAATCAATAACTTGTAGACTGGGAAGAGGAGCTTGTTTAATCAGAAGTGCCCATTAATGCAGACTGCTTTCAGGTTTGCAGGAGAATGTTCTTTAACTCACCACTTAACCAAATGCAAACAAAATGCCTTACTAGGACAGGTATGTCCCAAAGGGTACTGTGATAAGCAATTCAAACCGTTTTGAACTTCTCATGTTAACAATAGCTATTTTATGTAAACATTTTAGTAAACACTGAATGAATCTTCACATGCTGTCAGGATTCCATTCCAACACCACCATTTAAAATGCCAGCCAGAAAACTCATTTGCAATCTTAGCTCTGGCTACTTCTTTTCACTAAGTGCATTATTCATGCTGGGGCAGTTTCACTAGTTGATCTTTCTTCAGGCAGGATTGGGCCTAGAGAACAAGTTGGTTCAGCTCCATGCACCTACCATCTGGTTATGAGAGGTTAGTTTTATTTTAAAACCGGACCCAAAATTTCAACTCAGTGATTTTATTCAGTCCCATTGGTGAGGTGTATGCCTCGTGTCGGAAAGTTTAGCAACAGATGTGAGCTTCCCTAAGAGCGTTGTGGATCTGGGTCAGGCCCATCTCTCTCTGTTTTATTATCAACTGTGGACCAGCAGCTCCATAAATATACTCATGCCTGTTTCCACATGTGGCCCTCTGACTGAAAGCAATAGATGGGGACCAATTTTTTTTCCCCAGGTGTGCACACAAGTGCTGGGAGTAATGTCTCTGAAGTCAGGGGAATTATGCTTCAAGTGGACCTGTCAGTCCCTAAACTTTGGGAATAAGATTAAAATCATGCGGTGATACTCAGCCCGTGCCTACGCTGGAGGGCAGGGGCGGAGGATCGATCTAAGTTACACAACTTCAGCTATGTGAATAAAGTACTTAGATTGACTTACTGTGGTGTCTTCGGAGTCAATGGGAGAGCACTCGGGGGTTGATTTATCAATGTTTTTTTCCTTTTAAATAAACTCTTATATTATGGAGCTATTAGTTAGTGATGCAACAGTTAAAGTGTTGACCTTTTCACTTTGACCAGGACTAAGAGCCCTATTTTTTCACACATAAATGAGGGAGTTTTGTCATACTGACTCTTGATGCCTATTAAATGGTGTGGGTGTGTGTACATATATATATATATATATATAGAGAGAGAGAGAGAGAACATGCAATTAGTTACTGTGACAAAAGATGGTTCTAAGTGTGTTCACTTTATAAAGTTTCACTGCTACACCCCTGCTCTCTGTGTTATCTTCATAACCCCAGCTCTGCACACCTAGTGGTGACCTGCGTCCTACACTGGAAGTCTAATGTCAAATATTAGGTAATTAATCATACCTCAAAGGAGTTATGCCCAGAGTCTGGAACTGATCAGCTCTTTCCTGAGCTACTTGTCAGTGCCCTGTATCGCTAGCTGAGCTCAGCACTGAGCCAGGGCAGAAGACTGGAAGATGAAGGGGAGGGTTGAGGTGAGAAGGAAGTGTGGAGAGATGGGGGAGCATGAGTGGCAAGCAGGGTTGTCAGAGGCTGATGCAGTTGAGCAGGGATGTGGTGAGAGAGCTGGGGGAAATCCCTGCTAATGGCTGGGCAGGTTGTGACTAGGGATGTTTGGGGGCTTCACCTCAGACAGTGGGCCAAAGGCAGAAGGGCTGCAGCAAAGAGCAGGGGGAAATTACCATTAGGGAGGCAAGGGACCATCTCTACCCTCTCACACACATCCATTCTTTCCCATTATGGTTCACCCCTGCTGGAAATGCACTCCAGCCCAGCTGCACACATCCCTGGGGGAGGAAAAAAACCCACAGGCATAGCTGCTGATTCTGTGGGTGCTCCAGCACCCATGGAAAA